ATCAAACAAACATAAAATGCCTTCACACCATCTATCATGGATTTTGCCCCGGAACCGCATTCGCATTAGTATCACGTTATTTGGCTCAGCTCTTATTGACTCAAATCCTCGGGGCCGCAGAGTCCGCTTCTATTTCGTTCTTTTAGTGCGTAGTATATGTTTTACATACGAGTCAATATGCTGCCAGTTTTCACCGCTAGCTATAATTTTTTCTACTAGATTATCAGTATTTAGTAGTGTTGTTTTCTAATGTTCTCCGTGGTTCTTTCCATCAATGGCACTTAAAAAAGGTACGGTTTGCGTCGTCTAGTGTTTCGTTTCTGCATTCAGGACTGTTTTTCTGTTTTTCCCCTTTTGTACAAGTATTTTCAGAAATACCATTGAGGCCTTAACTCGGTAAATTCTAAAGTAATGGTTTTTTATAAGCTCCGGGCTTACTTCTGACATTGCTTCGAAGAAAATCATTATTTAATTTTAAATTTTTTGGCGAAACTTCCAGAGGCACATCACCAATGAGCTTTATAAAAGCGCCATCATCACAAAATGTTTAATAAAATTTTTTTCTGTACAATGATTAATAATGTTAGATTGATCAATACCGACCGTTGAAAATCTTCTTATATAAATATAAAATAAATTTCGCATAACAGATATTTCATATTGATAAAACATATAGTCGGCTATTTGATTAGCTAAAATATATTACTTATTAAAAAATATATATATCATTCTCATTAACACATTAAAGAAAATTCATGGCTAGTAAAGGCTGCAGATGATTTTTAATAATTATTTAAAATTTTTTTAGAAAAGTTGCTGTGCTTTCGAATTCATTTATTTTCAAATCAGAACAAAAAAACTGGTTTGACAATAAAAAAAAACGATTTTTTCATGAATTTTGCTTTATTTTATGCGATTTAGTATATCGTTTTAGATATAGTTTTCCTATCTTAAAGTAAGTATTGTAATGATGAGCTAAATTTTTCAACACTTCTTTCCATAGCTACTTATATCAATACTTTTTATCTATAAAAACCAGTTAATATTGACACTTGTTATTTTCCAAGGCAACGGTGCAATCTCCGCAGAAATTATTCAGATTAGATCAAGTCTATGTATAGAGTTTTTTATGCTTGTTAAGGGTATTGTTTTTATTTTTACAATTTTGAAAAATTATGATACATAATTACATACATATGTATATAAAAACGGTTTCAATTGCAAAGTGCGCTCTCTCAGTATTTTTTATTTATTAAATTTTGTATAGTTCTTTAGCAGTCAATATGTAATATTAAAATCAGCAAAAATCTCGAGTAACTAAATATATATTTTTAAATTTATATATAAGGTATAAAAACGTTTAATGTGCTCTATTAAGATCATTACACAATATTATAAACATCAATAAAATATAAAAATTTTGTATAAATTATTATAAGTATAGTTAGTTGGTGTTAGGTCGAAGTCAATCTCTATAGATATCTATTGGCCATAAGCATTCTACGCGAACGCGTCATTACATTTGGCTGCTCATTGGCTTTATCCTGCTCGAAGAAACCATCGTAGAGCACAAAATGATTCGCTTGCGGTATGACACGCTCCAGCCCATAGTGTTTCTTTAAGAAACCCAAAAGTTTCTCCGACGGTCGATCCACCGAACACTTGACAGGCTCCCATTTCTCTTCGCTTAACATGGTTTGAAAAAGTTTTTTACCCAAACCGCTGCGTTGACGCTTATCGTGTACATAGAAATCCAGTATACAGGGTGCATTGTCCACCTTACGTGATTGACCGAGCTCATCGAAGAGATACAAATCCTTCATGCCGATTTTAAGCAAGCCTACAACTTCATCGCTACGCCCACTATTAAACTCACCCAGATCGGCCATCAGGTAGACGATTTGATTGTCAGACTTACGTAGTTTCTGCGCCGTTGTAATGGGTATATTCAGTTTTTGCGCGATGGCCGACAGCTGTCCCAAATGATCAATAATGGCTGACATTTTGGCTGTAGCTTCGAGTGCTTGCCGCCGATTGCCGTGAAACGTGTGTGGCAACAGGCTGGAGTCGACCTTCACAATAGGTTTTGGAAAGAGGCTGCGTATATCAAATTTGAAAACGGCCATTTTTTGTTGGTTCTGAGAATCTACAAAAATATTTGGCGTAGCGTTGCTTTTATGTAGATTTTTGTTACTTCGGTTGTATATGCAATGTATTTACAAAAACACAAACCGCTCACTGTCGTAAAATTTTTAATTCTCTATTTTTCACTCAAAACGATTTTCAGCTTCGTAATGCGAACTTCACCATACACGCTCCGTTTTTCACGTGTTTCTGCCGTTGTTTGTTGTTGGTCGGTTTGCTTTACAAACGTTATGACTCATTGATGAAATCAAATTATTTATGAATTTTTTACTACAATTTAAGCGTTAGAAGAATATCGACACATATTTTTGAAATTTGAAATTTTCGTAGCAAAATAATTCCGTGTCTTCTGTGACTTTTATTCGATTGAATTGAAAATTTCAAATTTGCTAGACACGGTGCAGTTGTATGTAAACAAAATATACTTTTATGTCATGTTTTTATTTTTATATTTGTATCCAAATGTCAAGTTCGTATACTTTTGATTTGATTTTCTTTATTTTTGTTGTTATAACAACAGTCAAAAAGCACAACAAGTGTTCAAATAAGTCAAATGACATTTGTCGTTTGAGCGTTGGCGTGTTATTCTTGGCTATGGCATATGTTTGTTTACATTTAATAAAAAAAAATATGCCATACAGGGTTGCATCAAAACACTTTAACGAAATTTTATTGATTTAAAATCATATAAAATATTATGAAAATCTTATTTTGGTTATGCATTTCTTTCAACAAATTTTAATTAACTTGCTAAACACTTAATTTATCACGGCGAATTGGCCGTGTTACAATGAGAAGTTATTTATATTGCTAATTTACAACAAGAACACTGAAAAATTAATAAAATGGGTCATATTATTTTATTTTAAGTAAAAATAAAAATATGGAAAGTACGCAAGCTACGTCAGACAATACTTACATAGATACAATGAATACCGAAACTTCACATTTTTGTTTAAACTATGATTTTTGACACAGAACATCAAATGGATATATGTATGTATATAATATACATACATTTTATTAATTTTAACAAATAATTAATTAACATGTTCCCGAAAATATTTTAATTTTTTTTAATCTCTTAAGGGATTATATCCACTTGAAAGTTAGAAAAAACTCATTTATTGTGATTTTTTTAAGTGGCATTTTATTTAATAGATAGACGATAGATAGTAAGACCTCCATAGAAAGATGTTTGGCGATGAAGAGAAGCAATAAGCTAATAATGGAAGAAATGATAAAATTAAAATTGAAAATGACGGCTTCGACGTTATCTGTGAAAAAATTTACAGTTCAGAGTGGCTTCAAAATCGAGCGTAATATTATCGAATTATCAAATATCTTATTCATTTGATCATTACCTCATAAATATATCTCTCCAAATTTCAAAACGGTCGATCAAAACAGCGTTTCGATAAAAACGGGTTTATAGTTTATTTACGATTACACAAAATTAAAAAAAAGTATTACAAATGCGGAGATATGAGTATGAGCCTCCGAATCTATTTGCCGGATCAACTTCAAATTTTTGTAGATTATTCTTAAATATATGTATATGCGATCTATATGCATGAACAAATTAATTGTGGCTTAATTATAAAATATATTCACCATATCGGGTAAAAAATCTGTCTTATTTTTTTTAAGCCATTTTTGGAGATTGAACAAGCTTTCACAGCATTTTTTCTTCATTCTCCGAACGACTAAAATTACTTCATGACGACTTCGGTAAGCGATCAAAATTTTAGCTCAAATGACGCTAGTAAAATGGGTGGAAGTTCAGTGAAATTCGTTTTGTAAAACCTCCGTGACTACCGTTATTTGACAAAACTAATATACGTACATGCTGTTTTACCGAAGAACTAATGAATAATAAGTTCAAAAAATCACTTATTTGCTTCAACCAACCTGTATAATGTGTGTAAAATATACGTATTTTTTTTAGAATCGAAAACAATCGTACAGATTGAATGCTGGCTATGTGATTTTCGTTCTGATTGCTGCGCTGAAAATTTGGAAATTTTGAACGCTAATTCTATATATAATTAACGAGGCAACGCCGAAGAGTTATTTCCAAATTTTTAATAATTTCTATTTTACAATAACAAATTAGCCAATTTCTTCGCAAAAAATTGCGTTTTTCCTACAAAGTGTTCAAATAAATATTAAAGATTTGGAATTTCGAAAAAAAAATTTACTATTGATTCAATTCATAACTTGGAAGTTTACTGTCGTAAAAAATGTGCAAAAATTTACAAATATCGATTTGCTTTGAACGCTTCTATCTATTTTCAGATTTCAAAGCAAGCGCAAAGAATGTTCATTTTCGATTCAGTTTCAAATTTTAATAAAAAATGTATTAACAGTTTCTAATACAACCATTTTTGAAAATAACAAATCTCGCATATTATCAGTTCGGGTCATAATTTTTACGTTTTCAAACGTGTTATAAGTCAGTGAACAACCGTGTATTTAGTACTTTAAAATATTGTGGTGAATTGTATATATACATTTATGTATATCTATAATTGAAAAATAAAGTATTTGAAAAATGTATTAATACAAAACTATTTATATCTAAATCATCAGTCACGCCGAAAGGTTCGAAAGCGAACCAGAAAACTTAAACAAAATTAATGAAAAAAAATTTTTAAAAACATATATGGTATATGAAATCCAAACATATACATAAACATCTTTACTAAAATAATCGACGTTTTAATGTGTTTATCAACCGCAACGATAAATCCAAACAAAAAACTTAAGACACAAACTTGTAGTAAAAATTTCAAATTTATTACAACTGTCTACCCTATCGACCAATCTACATTTAAACACATAATTTTAATACAAAAATATAAACAACAACAATTCAAAATCAAAACTTAAGTATGAATACCACATGCAACAGCTTAATTAAGTCTGGGAACTTTTTAATGCGCGCTGCGCCTGCTCAATACTAACTAAAAAGATGCAAACCAAAAAAAAAAAAAAATTATTTGAGCTAACAACATTGTAGGGACTAAAACAAGAGCAATTAGTTAATATTTACGAACGTTTATGCTCTTTTTCACACATTCTTAATTGTAGCAGCGACGATTGAAGATCAAACAACGCTCAACATTACTATGATGAGCGCGCTGCTCACCGCTAATCTAAGAGTGCGCGGGTCTCTGCGCTGTATGTGTGTATGTAAACAGTGGCGCACGTTGCATGCCCCGTACGAACTCCACGCAAGCACACACACAGCCACACGTACGCGCGTTTGTGTCAACGTACAGCAAATATTTGTAATTGTCCGCAGCACGTTGAGGACTGTGTCGCACATTGTCCTACCTACTATTCTACGTATAGGCACTTCAGGTGGTTTGCCGTCGCTCAGGTGGTCTCTGTTGGTGTTTGTGAGTCACATTTCGTCTGTTGCTGAGCTGAGCGCGCGAATACGCTGAACACCTTCTGGCCGGCTGGCTCTATGTGTGCTGCGTGCTGTGGCGCCCAGCCTGCTTTAATGTGGTGTTGTGAGCATTTTCTAGTCAGTCTGCTGTTGAGTTTCGTTACGTGCGGTGCCCCAAACGGATAAGTTTTTTTGTGCGTTTGTGTTTAAATAATATATTGCATTAACAAAAATGCTGAAAAACTGAGCCAATTGTGTCCACTTCAATGTACTTTAAAATATTATTGCAAATAACATGAAGTTTGTGTAAAAAAATATTGCACAATAATTTCGCTTTATATGACAAACAATCTTTTTGAGTCACTCGGAGTGTTTGCTGGCCGATATTATCTTAAGTACTTTGTACAAAACGAAAATATATCGCATAACTGCTGTCACGAAAATTATTGTTACTGTTCGAAAAGCGCATATGTATCGGTGTCGGCGCCGTTCACCGTCTTTGTTTTTTTGTTTAACACCGTTTAGTGAATGTAGACATAAAACACAAATTTATTGAACACATTTTTATGCAATTTCGATTTGATTGTCAGCAAAAATTGCACAGTTTCATGGCTTGCGGCGTTAAATGTGGTGTTTATATAAATGGAATGTGTTAGCGCAAAAAGAGAGTGTCGCCAAAAACACCAAAAAAAACATTAAAAAGCATTTACAATCATCGAAATTAAAATTGATGTTTGAGAAAAACTATTTCCGTTAGCGAATTTATTGTGCCAACTTAGTATGCTCACCGACGGAAAAAGTGGAATTTCTTATTGAAAAACCAAACTAAAATAAAACATATACGAGCGCACTATGAATATAGTTAGTAGTTTTAGCTTCGTAAACTACAAACAAGTGTAATTTACAGAAAAAGTTGTAAAAAAAGTTTCACCAAAAATAACATAAAAACTTATGTTTATAAAAAAGCGATATAAGTGATCTTAAATCTCGTAAAAGACTGTTTACTACAATAGTCGAAACAAAAACAATAATTTTAAGCTCACAGCAATGCTATGTGCAAATATGCTTTCATAAAAAAAAAACGAACGCCTGTCGCACATTAAAGCTCCAAAAAAAGATAACCTGAAATCGTCACAAAAACTTTTGTGAGTGAAAGCTTTAAAACAAAAGTGTCTCCACACATTATGGCGACAGCCACAAAGTAATCATAAAAAATGCCATTAAGTGTGCGAACTTTCATACAAGTGCTATTAGTGCTTTCATCTCTTGAGGCTTTAAGCTTTTAAGCAGCTATAACCATTCAAGCAAAAAACAAAAAACATGAACGACAATTACAAAATCGAAACACAAATGCATGCAAAGTCGAATAAACGAACTTGCCAAAACGATAACGCATGCCACAAATCGCATTTGTACTCAACGCCGCAGACGAAAGCTCCGTTAGCGCCCAAACAGCTCGACATTAATATACCACACGATTCAATCAATACAATTACGGCAACGCTAAGTAACTTAAACGATATGCCGCACTACCGTTATGGTGGTAGTGATTCGTTAGCATCCACCTTGTCACTGCTGCCACTCGGACGACGTCGTTGGTTTCAGCGCCAAACTTGCTTACTTTGCATTTTGGCGGCTTTCATTTGCGGACTATTCCTCGGCATATTCGTCCCAATGGTGGATTTAAGTAATGTATTTTCGAACTTATCAACGGATCCCGCGCCTCGTACGCTACTGCCTGCAGCTGTAGTTGGTCAACACGTACCGATCGGTTTAACTGCTTTAAATTGGGAACCGCTGCCTTATGATAAGGTAAAGTTGGCAACAACCGTGAATCGCACAACAGCAACGACGCGCAAAGACAACCTCAAAGAAGTGGTACATAGCCCCTTTACCGTCGCCTTCATTAGCGAACATGAAGGTAGAATTGGTGCGGAGGAAATTTTGAGCGATGGCCCGCATTATATTGACAATAGACGCGATGCGCGTGTACAACGCACAGCGGATGCACCACTAGCGCGGCCCACAGAGAAGCGTACTTCGAAAATGCTGCATGATTTCGGCGAACAAACATGGCCGCAACAAAGTTTAGAAAACACCAACATCATGACTAAGAATGCACTGCAACGACCTAACGTGCTGAAGAAACACCAGTCGGCACCACCGAGCGCACCGGGCATCATAAAATCAAACATCTACTGGGGTGAGCTGGTAGAGCGCGCGCTCCCACAAGGCTTCAGTGCGCAGGATACACGTGATTGGAATGCCTACGTTGTGTCTGAAACCGCGGTGCAACGACTAGAGCAAGGTTGCGGGCGTATGCAAAATCGGCTGCTCATCTTTCGTGATGGCACACGCGCCTGTGCGCGCTATCGCCAAAACACCGATCAAATACAAGGTGAACTCTTCTCCTTTTATTTGGGGCGCTTATTGAATATGACAAATCTCGCACCCAGCGCGGTACTCACGGTGAATGTGGAATCTGACAAATGGTCCACCGTTGTGCATGACATAACTCAAGCGCAATGGAAGCAGCAACGGCCGGTGGTACTGACACGTTGGCTGCCAAATCTCGAACCAGCCGGCATACCACAACCCTTTCAACCGATCGATCGTCATCTCAACAAGCAAGATGTATGGAATATAACTTTAGCGCTGACGACAATGGCTGGCAAAAGCAGCTCCGTTGATGCGGAAAACTCAAATAATGCGCTACACCAAAATTCTCACTCCGTGGATTCTTCCATAAATATATCAATTACACCGAACTCACTGGCACTTGAGCGCCTTGTTGAACTCGCTCAATGGTCGGACTTGATTGTATTCGACTATTTGATTGCGAATCTCGATCGTGTCGTCAATAATCTCTATAACTTCCAATGGAACGCCGAAATTATGGCCGCACCAGCGCATAATCTGGCGCGTCAGTCTAATTCACAGTTACTGATCTTCCTCGACAACGAATCCGGCTTGCTGCATGGTTATCGGTTGCTCAAAAAGTACGAGGCTTACCATGGACTCTTGTTAAATAACTTGTGCGTCTTTCGAGAGCCCACCATACGCACTTTGAGACAGTTGCGCGATGCGGGCGCGGGTCGTAAACTTCGCGAGATTTTCGAACAAACGGCAAGCGCTGAAGTGCGTGATGTGCTGCCAACGTTGCCAGATAAATCAATTAAAATATTAAACGATCGCATTGATCGGGTGCTAGGACAGGTGGATAAGTGTAAGCAAATGATCAGTAATAGCTAGTAACTTATCTACGACGGCGTTGAAGCCTTTGTGAAAGTCCAAGAGAAAGGGTTGCGGTGCTCAATGTAAAAATGTATTGTAAATTAGTTATGTCTAAAAGTTTTAATACAATATTTATATTATATTGCTAGTTATTTGTATGTGTAATTATATGACATTAAGTAATTGAGGCGCTCCAAACAAGTCACTGTAAAGTCATAGCTTTAAGCTTATTACTGTGTATTAGTGTAACTGTAATGTCTTGAAAGTTGAAAGTTCTTACCAAAAGCAAACCACAAATCTTATATATTTGTATGTAAATCTGACTGATACGAGTTAAATTATTTATACATATGTATGTACATAAATGGCGCTTACGTTGCAGCTGGATTTGCTGCACTTTTCCTAGTTGTGTTGAAATTACTTTAAACATATATTTTATCTCTTGAGTTTCTCACACAAAATGGGTGGTAATAAAAGTTATAAATTTTTCTTTGAAAAACTTTTAAACTAAACTTATTTACATATGAAAGGCTTGTGACATCCTTGAAGCCCATTATCTTCAAAAAACTTATAGAATACTTATAAAATATAAATTACTGAAGTAATATATATCTTAATTATAAAACTCGCTTCATATCGGCATTTTCAGTTCTTAATTATTAAATTTCTTCGAAGATATGTACCAGATAAAGTCAAACTTCGGAGAAAGCTGTGTTGTTTTTAATGTGGAAGACTGTTTTAAAACTACTGAAGTTTACTTAAAACTTTTAAGGTACTAGATTTATTAGATAAAATCCAATTATATATTACAGATTGGTGCTAAAAAGTCACTACACTAATTTATTTTTATTTTCTGCTAAAATTTCTCAAAACAATAATTATTGCTATTATTATTATTAGGTATAGTACCGTTAAGTAGGTTTTTATCTCCATGAATTTTGAAATAATTTCTTTTTCACCAATTTCTTTTAGAAGTAAACTCGAATAAAGCTTTTAACTTGACCAAAGGACAAACAAAAAAAATTCCTACCCATAACACTCGCTAAACCACTTATTAAAATGTCACACAATGAAGCTTATCCAAGTCACCAACCATTTCGAACTCAAATTTATCCAAGTTTCACATTTTTTTTGTTTTAGATATTTTCGACAATTTTTATCTCCAGTCCATATTTGCTTCGTTTTATTTTACTATTCCATATGTATATACCATAAAATAAGTTTACAAACTTAAATTAATAATATTCCATATACAATCTTATATATCTATAATATGTAACATGTATTCAAGTCACAATGGCGCTAGTTTTTAACAATAAGACCTATCGGTTGTAAGTTGAATTTTTTAAAACAAAGATAAGTGTTTTACGTGTGATTTTGCGAGCAAATTAGTATGTAAAAAATAAAGTCTAATTATAAGATTTTTCCTTCTACATAAAAATACATATATAGACCCGATAATGTCTAAAAAATTGTGATATAATATTTAAGTGCGATTTGTATATGTATGTTAATTTATTTAAATATTAATCTAAATATACAGTGAAAATAAAATAAATACTTACAAAAATATAACAAAATTCCTTTTTTTAAATAAAAATTCGAAAAAAATGTTAGAGACCTGAGGGCAGCGTTTCAAATATCCATAGATAGTATTTTTGTCAAAGTCAACACAAATTTTTGGATAAAAATATTGAGACAAAATTTTTTGAAAATCTATTTGTGAAATTATTCAAAACCAATAGATAGAATGCACTATGAAGCGATTTGTTAAGCGAGAGATTATTGAGACAATAAAATCTCATATTATTTGTTAGACCGACCACTACTTCACCGATGTACTGTTTTTCTCCCTACAGTGGTTCGCAGTCAAATTTACTACTATTCTTCTCACTCAAATGTCAAAATGACTAAAAAGCATTACCAATCTTCTGTGAAATTTTTTCAAGTTTTAGGGAATTTTTGTTTTCTCATAATTACAAATGTCCGTCGAATATGATGATGTAGATGAGTTTCAAACACCTTCAATGCCAAAAAGAAGTTTTTAAGAACATAAAACATTCACTTCAACTTAGGATATATAGATAGATAGATTAGTTTTAGGTTTACACCGCGACCTAGGATCTATTGTGCCCTCTCTTTCATCACATGTATTCCCAAAGTCCCAGCACCCTGACAAACTCCAGAAACCTGCTGGGGGCTATTGAGGTAATGTGATCCCTATCCACACAAATGGACCCGAGGGCCTTGAGCCTGCGCCTATAAATTGCAGTGCAATCTAGAATCAGGTGTTCTGGTCTTTCTAGCCCCATGTCGAAGAACCGACAGTTTCCACAAGAAGCTATGCCCATGTTAGACAGATGTTTCTTGAGCCTGCAGTGCCCAGTGTAGAGTGCGACAAGGTGCCGGAACTTGTCTCTAGGGAGGTTTATCATAGCTCTGAACCTGGCTAGATTGTACCCTCCCAGTAGTAGTTTAGCATGGCGCATACCTGTTGCTTGCTGCCAGTGACTTTCTCTGCCTGCTCTCTCCCCTGTGCAATGCATGGTTCTGGCCCCATCATCCCAGAAGCAACAGCTGAGCGGGCGAGTTCGTCTGCCAACTCGTTGCCGGCTACCCCTTTATGCCCTGGCACCCAGATCAGGTGTACACGGTTGCAATCTGATAGGTGGTTCAGCATTCCTATGCACTCCTCCACTAGAAGCGATTGAATCTCATAGAATGAGTTGCCTGCCATTCGCAGGAGCTTAGGATATATAGGGAGACGATGTATTTATTAATTTTAAAATGGACTTTTTAGAAAACTCTTGTTTTAAAATTTAAAATATTCGAGATAACAGTAGGTAAAAAGCTATTTTATTATAATTGCCTAATTCTACAAACAAATATAACTCGGGTTCACGATTTACGATTTTATACCACCATTGGTTGTATTAGTTTAGGAGGTTTTGACATAACTATTTTAAATAATATGATTTCCGACAAATTGATTATATAAAGTTTACTAAAAGAAATCCATTATTTTTATTCCAAATTAAAGGTTTTACTTAGCACCGATTTGGGTCAAATAGGGAACCTCCCAATCAAGCTCCCGGAGCTTCTGGCAAGTTACTACCGATCTGTGTGGCCTGGCGTTGTCGTGTTTGAACACAATTTCTGTCCTTTGCTTTTTTCAGACGGTTCAATTATTAAGAGTACGGGTGCGGATTAAAAGTTTGGCTGTAAGTTTGCTACTCATAGTAGCTGATTCCCTGCCAATCCCACCAGACACATAGCAAAGCCTTCGTGACCATTAGTCCGGACTTTGTCATCGTTTGTGTCGACTCACAGCTGTTTAACCAAGACCATTTTCGTAAGAGATCCACTTTTCATCACCAGTAACAATCCGCTTTAGGAATGAATATATTTTATTGCGATTAAGCAGCGTTTCACAGATGAGAATTCGGTTAATTGGGTGTTTTTTTTTTTTTTTGCTTTAACTCGTGCAACACACATACGTCGAGCTCCTTTTTGTATCCGCCTTATTCAAATGATTCCAAACGGTTTATTGTGCAGTGTTTAGCTTCTGGACAATCGAAAGATTGCTTAAATGATGCTCAGACTTGATGATTTCTATTATTTTAATGATATTTTCAAGAGTGTGCTGCCTTTTTCACAGCAAAGCTATCGGAACGGAATCGACGACACCGAAAAATACAGTATCAGGATCATAAACATTTTTCACATCTTCAGCCGCCTGACTTGCGTTTTCGCCGTTATTGTAGAAAATCTTAAAATATGGCATACTTTCTTTTTGCTGCTGTCTACTTTTGACGCGTGTTCACTGAGTCAAGCAATCACAGAACTATCTGAGAAGTTCTTTTTCTACGAAACCTTCATCTTTTTAATACCATATTTTTTCACACTTATGCAACGCGTCATACAGATTGCTAACCATTGGAAAGAAATGGATTTCATTTTACTAAATCTGATATTATTTGAAGATTTGTTCGTGGCACTAAAAAAAGCTCGACAAATTTAGAAGCATAATAAATTCAAAGGACGTTATTCAGAGGTAAATAGCAACTAAAGCCATCTTCGATTCGCGACTTCTCTGTTCGTTAAGCTTTGGGCTCTGCCCTCTTTTAAAAAAAATAAGTATGAAATCAACAAAAAAGCTATCGCGTAGAATTCAACGCGACGGCGTTAGAATGATTTGAAGCTTTATGTTCACCGCAAAGCTTCATAACCCTCATCACAGTTTTCAAGAACAGTCTTCAAATTTCTTAGAGCTTTTTTGAAAATTGAAAACTTAAAAAAGTTTATTATTTTGTTTAATTATTATTAAATTTATTTATATTTTTATTTATTTATTTATTATTTCGTTTAATTGTTTTCTTTATTTATTAATTCAGAATGGTTTCGTAGTTCTGGAAACCCTAGAAAGTGTTAGTGTGACTGATATGGAGGGTTCTCTGCCGAAAGAAACTTTTGAAACTTCTCACTTTACACACTTACAATGCTAACAGTAAACATAAAATGCCCCTTCATCTTTGAATATGTTATCATCTCATTGCTCCAGCAACATTTTAATAATTCTGTTTGAAATTCTGAGTTATGGATCTCGAACTATTTTCGATATTTCCTTTTGTTGTAGGTATTAATCGTGATCCTCAGTTTATATAAAACTGTATACATTTTTATTTTTTTCTTCTCAACTTCTTACGCCTCTGCTTTTTGACATTCCTATTCAACACCCGGCATTATTAAGTATTTTCATTTAAATGTCTTGGCGCGACCGCCTTTTGACTATAATCATTTCTAAATAGTACAACAAATCATCTATTTGGCAATTATGAACGGACTCATATGCCTTTCATAAATGAAGAGCATACATTAAGCCGGTTACAGACATAGTAGTAACGTTCGCCATATTTTTCTGTGCATATGCATATACTTTATACATATAATAATTTACTCAAGTTTATTTCTTATTAATTTTGTATTTGTTACCAGGCCGCACAACTAGTTGCTATTGTTCTCGCCTTAATAGCACAATCAATAACACTTCCACCTAGTCGAGACCCCACACCGAGATAATGTTTTATTTTGGGTTTTCGAAATGTTGTAGGCCACTTGCCGCTGCCATATGTAGTGTTATGTGTTACTTATTAAGTTAAGTGAATATAAATTACAAGTTAATGCAAATTTACCAAATTATCTGAAGCGATTGATTAAAATCAATAAATTTTCTATTTCATTGTAAGCAAATTGAGTTGGAAAAGCGAAATCAGAATTTTAATTTTTCAAGATAGTTATACTATGTGTATAAGCAACAGATAAATTAGTAATATGATAGCTTTTATGTTTGAAACTGTATAATAATACTAACCAACATGGTATTCTATTCTTTTGTTCCTTTTTTTTTGGAACCTTGCCATTTGGTAATTTAATCTTCAATGACGTTGGTGCAAATTTTTATTTGCCATATTTTTTATCAGCTTTAATCTAAATGATCGGGTTAAAATGCAAAAATTTTGGCTTAGGTATTACCATAAAATTCATCGCTTTTTCGACTGTCACTGCGCAGTGTTTATATTCCGATCGCAATCTTCGACCAACAACACCACGTTTTTTTCTAAATGTTATCCAAGTTTCTCTTATCGAGTGTCTTCAAGCATATTTTTGCCATAAAAATTCTTCCGTTAAAACATATCGATTGTCTGAAAGCAGTGCTTGGTACATGAACAACCCTTAATTTTGCTGAATACGTTAAGGCGTACACCACAGTTTCTTAAAATACCATAATTTAATTTAGGTATAGAGAGCTTCGATTTCAAAATTTTCACGAAAGGAAGCTCGATATATTTGAGGGCTCTGCAGCATCTATTTTACAGATGAATAACTGATTTACTAATGTTTGGGGTTGAAACAGTATATACACATAAGTGACGAATACCCTCTAGGTCTACCGAATCGTATATTTATCTCAGAATTATACGTTGTTTTTAGTTTTCATATAGGAAGAAGATATAATTAATTTTTTTTTAATGAAAGAAATACAAGACAAACGTTAACTTCGGTTGCACCGAACCTATAATACCCTTCACAACCAAATTCCATACAAGAACTTGATTTTAGAGAGAGAGTTTGTAAGGCCGCTGTATGCTATAGTGATCTGAGTAATTTCTTCGGAACTTGTACCGTTGTCTTGGACAATAATCCGTGCCGCATTTCGCGAAGATATCTTCTCAACTAAAAAGGTTTTCAAGTAAATGATTTTTATCATTCAGTTTGTATGGCAGCTATATGTTATAACGCTCACGAATCAAATTTTGACGAATAGCTTCTAACTATAAGGCATATGAATACAATTGAATTGACGACCTCTCATAGAAGCCTTACAAGTCTTGAAGGCTATCTTTTATTATTGATTTTAGTCGGCGTGATATACACATGACATGGAAATACATAGTTATTAAAAGAGAAGAAGACTAAGGCCAATATGGTAAGCATTACTTTTGCTCCCTACAGTTGACGCTCTGCTAGCGAAAATTTAATGACATCCATAAAAGATCTTTAGAAGAACCTTTGATATCTCTCTAATGC